AAGGGGAAAGCGTCCGACGCAGGAGGTCGCGATTCAGGGCCTACGCGGTCTCCTGGTGCGTGATCGGCACACGGGCAACTTCACGAAAAAGGAAGGGAGACTTGGGCCTGGCAGTGCAGAACTCTTAAGCGGTTTATTAGATTGCAAGTGGTGTCATTACCTTGTAGAGAGGTCGCCATTCAGGTAACGAGTCAGGAAGCTCAGGCCCGTCCATAACTCAGCTCTCGCCCCACGTCCAGTGGGTCTGCTCTCCTCTGGATCCCGCCTCTCACACACCCGCCAAGTGCACCCTCCCCCCACTGCCTTCCGACTGGCCCGTCTCCTGCACCGAACCGTCGCCAGAGCTGCCCAGCTTCCCGGCAACGCTCCAGCCTCTCCCCCAGACAGCCCCAGGTCACCCCTGCGGAAGAGCCTCGGAGGGCTTCGGGTAGTCCGCGGGATAAATGCCAGCACCCTCGGGGTGGCACGCAAGGTTTCAATACCTGCACCTTTTCCTGTCCACTCTTGGAAACTCGGCCCTCAGTGCCCACCAGACACCAAGTGTTCCAGCCCCACGGGACCGTGGGTGATTCTCTGAGCAGCCAGGTACTTCTGAGCCTCTGGTCTTTGTCCATTCTGCTATTCCTTCTAACCTAAGAACAGGCTCTCTTTTTCTCCACTTGAGAAACTCCTCCACATCCTTCAATACCCCATTCTGCTGACCCTCCTCTGTAACAAACGTTTCCCCCAGTTCCCAAACAAAATTAACCACTTTTCACAGTCTGTCCTATTCCGTTAAAGCTGCCGTCACAGGAAGTTTTGACTCTTTGTACGTCTGTCTCCCGACGTCCTGATGTGAAGAGAGACAGGCCGTGGGAGGTCCTTGAGGGCGGAGACTAAGTCAGAGTCATTTGTGCATGCCCAGTTCCTAGCCCACTGCAGGCAAGTTCTGGCATCTACGCGTGCCACTTGAACTGAATTAAACGGGAGCAGGACGCTGTCATTATCAGAAGCGTAGCCGTGCGTCTTTGGGCTGAGAATAACTTAAAGCTCAGCATTTACTTCTCGGTATTCGCAGTTCAGGAGCTTACACTTGACAGAGTTGATGTGAGCAGGCACTCGAAGATGACTGAGCACACGGATGGCCGCGGTTGTCAGGGCATAGTAAATAATTTCAGTTTTCCTATAAAATTGTATGTGACGTATTCTGAGATGTTTTAAGTCTTTGACAACAACGGTCTAGCAAGGTTCATTAAATAATGATTGATCTCATACTGTGGCCTTAACAAAAAAATAATTACAGTGCTTGAGGAATGAGAAGAGAAACTGCGATCGGGATTTTCGCGCAACGATCTACGGTGAAATTAGGGACTCGAGACCCAGGCACCCTTCCCGCGGGCAGAACCAGAGTCTGAGCGCTTTCCCTCGGCAGAGCCGACTTAGCAGCCGCTCAGACGGCACGACAGCCGGGACGGCTCGGTCGACGGAGCAATTAAGTGGCTTACATGAAAAACTTACTAGCCCCTTAGTCTTAAAATAGCAATAGCTTACACTAGGCAGTATGTATCGGTGCCTTCTGCTGAAACGTGCGTTGTTTCTGTTAGTCCTCACAGTGACCGTACGCAGTAGGTAATTATCCTAGTTTTACAGGTGAGAAAACAAGGCTTTAAGAGGTTAAAACTTGCCCAGGATCACATAGTTAATGTGTCAGAGTCAGTACATTAAAAATATCAAAAACAGGATAGGTACTAGGTATATTTTGAATGCCTCTATAGCTTCCCTTCCCTTTATTTTTTTTTCCTTTTTGTAGAGATGGGGTCTCACTATGTTGCCCAGGCTAGTCTTGAACTAGCCTAGCAGGCGAGTCCTCCCTCCACAGCCTCCCGTAAGTGCTGGGATTACAGGAGTGGGCTACAGTGACCGGCCCTCCCTTCCCTTTACTAGAAGTTTTTACATTTTTGTTCCTCATCATGTCTCATTAAGCCTGCTAGATTCATCCACTCTGTTTTGCAGAATGAAGAAGTGAATGAGTGAAACCCGCCCAGTGGGTCTGAGGTAGCAGCTCCTCCATCCATGAGAGTGACTTTCCTAACATCTGTGATTTTCACGAAAAGGCCATTACACTTGAAGGCCTCTGGGGGCAGCACCAGCTCCTTGAGGAGCCCGAGATCACCTTCTTGCCCCTGCGAGCCTGACCCGCCGTCTCTTCCCTTGGAGGCCGGTGGAGCAGGGTGGCGGCCGGATTGCCCGGAGCTGCCTTTACCCCGCCGGTGAGGGCCGGGCCTCGCCCAGAAATCCCGCAGTGGCCCACAGCACAAAGGGACACAGGACAGGAGTTTGCCAGGACTCCCTTTTCAGTGCCCCATGCTTCTCCCGGCAGGCAGCGCGGCGTCGCTGTGGGTCAGGCTGATACGTTTCACAGACAGTCCTACCTCCATTTTGCAGGTTGACTGATTTACCCTTAGAGCAGAAAATATTTTACTTGGTTCTGCAGCTTCCCTGCGTACATCCAGGCAACTGTCCAGAGAGCCCCGGTCAACACTGATGGGATCGGGGTGGGAGGGCCCGGGGCAGGGGCCAGAGAGAGGAGGGGACTCAGGCTCTTGTGGCAGTGGCTGCCTCAGGTTTTTTTAACAACTGGCCCAGTGTGAGCCTCGTCCTCCGTCCTCCTGACCATCAGCCTTGTGTCCAGACGTCAACTCACAAGCCCACTTGCCTTGAATAGTCTCCTGCAGCCCATAAATGCACACAGAGCTCTATTTTCTCCAACACGTGACTCAGCAGGCTTTGATCGCAGCCGGCGCCGCTGCCCAAAGGCTGAGCGTGCACAGAACGGGGGAGTTGGCCGGAGCCCATCGGGGTTGTCCAGTCCACACCGAGGGGTCCACAAGGAAGGAGAGACAATAGTTACGTAGACGTTTTAAAAACAATGTTTAAATTAAAAAATTGCTGTACCCACTGTAGAAACTTTTTACAATACTGGTTTTTATAAGGATGACAAAGGATAAAGGTCGTCATAACTGCCCTAATACCACGACTAAAACATAATCATTGTTAGATTCTATTCCCGTTAACACCATGGCTTATTTCTTTCCTATCTCTTTTTTATGCACACAATTATTCTTAGCACGGCTGTGGTCATACTGAGCGTTCGGTTTTGTTTACTGCCTTGGAAGCAGTTTTGTGCGTCATTTAAAAATTTTTTTCGTAAGCATCTTAATGACTAAAATATAGGGAAGGGATCCAAAGAAGTCCATCCCAATCGTAGTCAATGGGTGTTGGCAAATTTCACTGACACTTCCAAGCTAAATGCAAGGAGACGCCTTGCGCACGCGTCGCTCGGCAAAGCAGCGCCGTAGGTACCGTTGCATTTCATTCTGACCGTAAACCGTGAAGAACAAAGCGCTGCTTTGGATCCTCATCCTCGGCCCTGTGTAAAAGAGATTCAGACGTAGAACTGAAATGAAGTCCCGGAGGTCAGCCGGTGAGTGAAAGCCCCAGAACTGAAATGCGGACCCGTCTCCCGCCTCCGTTAGCTTCTCAAGTCTCCATCTTTTCCCCGGCAGTTCATGTCCAGTGTCAGAAAATGTGTTCTTACTCACGTGGCCTCCGTTAAGTAGGTTGGACTTTTAAAGGGCTGGTGAAATTCGGGGTACACGACAGGTTTTATTAGACTCTGGTTTAACAACAGGTAACTGATACCCGTGGGACTTCTTTGGTGACCTCTGAGGTTCAGCCAGTGCTGCTTCAGTTTAAAGAACAGATTCAAATGACTGTTCAAGAGCGGCCATGACACAGCTCTGTAAGGATGGGTATTTAAGAAAATACTTCTTTGGCAAGAAGATTTTCCTAACCTACTTCTACTTCCTGTCATTCAGATTCTTCAAAAGGATGTTGATGGAGTCTTTGGTTTGTTATGTTATAATGTGAAGTCTGCTAAAAAAAGCCCAAGGCTATTAGCAGCACATAAAGATGATAATTCCTGTTGCTATCTCAGAAAAAAATGGTGAGAAAAACAAAATGAAGAAAGCTCGATGGTGATGCTTTAAAACTGGGGCTTAAGTTAAATATTTATCATTTTCTTTAATGTTGCAAATGCATCTTAAGAAAACACAGCTAAGGAAGATAGTGGCAACGGTTTTCATCACGACCTTTAAAAGCAGTTCGTTAATACTCCTGAAAGGGCTCTAATATAAATCTTAAGACGGAGGCCAGGCACAGTGGCTCACGCCTGTAATCCCGGCACGTTGGGAGGCCACAGTGGGAGGATCACTTGAGGCCAGGAGTTCGAGACCAAGCTTGGCAACATAGTGAGACTCCTGTCTCTGCGAAAAATTTTAAAAATGTGTGTAGGCGTTATTTATGCAATGGTACAAAAACGTCATGCTCTATGACAAGTCTATAAGACTAAGCCTCAATAAAAACAGTGCAGTAGTTAATGAAATACGTAACTAAAGGGATCAAATCAACTGAGCATCTTAAGAAGTGAACAAATGGGAGACTCAGGGTAAGAACCGTGTGGCCAGGTGTACTCCTGCTGAGAAGCAGGTCTAAATTGCACGGAACTCCTACTTACCGAAGACCTGGGAATGAATCTGTTGCTAAAAAGGAGTATTAGATTATTGATTAAAAGCTATTAAAACATTAGTTTTCAGTACTTTAGAAAGCATTATTGGGTGTGAATGCCACCACCTGAGTCAAGTAAGACAAGGCATGTCCCTTCTGTGAGCTCCCCGATCATTATTGGTGACCCAAATTCATCTCAGAGTGAGTTTGACTTGCAAGTTCTCAGTGAATTGTGCTGAGCCTAAAAATTCTCCCTAAACCACGGCATCTGTTCCGTATTTACAAACTGAAATAACTACGGATGTCAAATGAAAGAAGATTCTATTTCCTTTAGAAACATAAATCCCTTTTTTTTTTTTTAGAAGTTTACATCAAAAATCTTTTTAGGCACCACAGTTTTTTATCTTCATGTCGCGGAATAGCTAATGTGCGATCGTTGCGATTTCTCCACGCAGTGCCCTGCCAGACGGTTCTAGATTACTTGAAGACGGTACTTCAGCACCACAACCAGCTCCTGGTCCCGCAGCCCGCCGACCAGCCGACCGAGGTAGGTCTCCAGCGAGAAGATCAATGTTGTCCCACTCGGGGCTTCCTTAGGATGAAGCCTCTTGACAGCTCACCAGCGTCTACCAGAGCAGACTGGCTGGCAGAATGCGTGTGTGAGTGTGTGAGGTGTGTGGGTCTGTGCGCTAAGCGTGCAGCCTCTGCAGAAAGACCACGCACGTACGACGCACAGAGATCGACTCTGCATTCTGACTGGCAAAAGAAAGACAAGACGGCGGTTTACAGGGCCTGGGCGATTCTCCCACTGTTCTTTTGGCACAGAGAGGCCTCGGACGGGAGACCCCAACCTGCCACCCTCGGGCAGAGCCAGGGTCCTTGACGCCCCCTGCTCTTGGCATCTTCCGCGCTCGGTGGGATTCTGCAGTGTTCGGGTGGGTGTTTCCCAGACCTCGGGCCTGAGCGTGAGCCGTTTTCTTCCTCCATGGGAGAAGCCACAGCCTCTCCCGGTCTGAGGAGGAAGGATGGTTTCGATGGTAAGGGTATAAAGGTGTAAGCGTGGCACATGTTTATAGGATGTCTAAGGCTCAGTTTCGAATTTCACTTCCATCTTACGTACTTTCGAACCGTGGGCCTTTGCCGTGAGTGTCAAACACGCCCACGTCTTCTCCGCCCTAAAAACGAGCCTCCCTTTGACTCACCCTCCTCCCCGGGTCGCCGCCCTCTTCCCTCCTGTCACGGCGGGTCCCCGACCTCCGCCAGCGCTCCCTCCTGCACCCGGACGCGGCGTGCCCCTCGCGCGCTGGGCCTGGGCTGTCACGCTTGCTGAACGTGACCCTGGTCCGTCTTGCTGTCTCCTCTCGTAGTTTCCATTTGCTCCCCCACTGGAATCCGGCTGCGCCTCTACCATTCGCCAGGGCACCTTTGCCCAGGTGTCTGGTTCTGGGGCCCTTTTTCCAGCCGGTGCCCCAGGCCGTCCCCTCTCCTCGTGCCCTCTTGCCCTTGGCCTCCGCGTGGGCAGGCTGCCCGCCCTCCCACGAGTCTCCATCCACTGCGCTGCTTCTCTCTCGCTCTCCTCCGTCTTCCTCTGCTCGCTCACGTTCCTGCCCTCGACGTCCACCGCCTGCAGGCTGGCAGGTCCCGGGTGTGCGCCTAGAGCGCCAGGCCCCGCGGCTCGGCTGCCGGGGACAGCGGGCTGCCCGCGCTGCCTCACACTCGCACGCCTGCTCTGAACACCGGTCCTCACTCCCGTGTTCTCTTCAGTGAAGGCCCACCAGCGCCAGGCAGAAGTTTCTGACGCATCACTGACTCCCCCCTCTTCCTCCTTTCCTGCATCTCACACGTCCCCGGCCATACTGCATTGTCCCCTCTCCCGTGTACTCAGCACTCTGCACCTGAACTGTCTCAGCGGATTCTTTCTTCTCCATTCTTCACACTGGAAAGTTCCTTTTCTCAGTCGCGGTTCCGGACGGAACATCGTATGCTCAAGATCCTTTTCTCCCTAGAATTAAGCCCACATTTCTTAACCTGACATTTCTCTCATACAAAAAGTATTAATACAGCTGAAAAGCCCACTTCCTCCAGGAAGCACTCCCTGATTGCCAGTCTCTGCTTTGTGCTCAGGTAGCACATTGCCCGTAAGTCTAACTCGGAACTAGCCTTACTTAATAGTAAGCATGCACCTGTGTCTTCCATTTCATTGTAAGTCTGTGAAGACGCAAATTGTGGGTTATTCATCTTGGTTTTTAAAAAGTGATTCAACAGAAGTTTAGAGTTTAATACCCTGTTAGTGGCTATTAGAAGAGACTGTGCACTCAGAAGTCCACAAAAATATAAAAATAACGGAAATATCTACATTCCCTCTGGACAGGAGACCGTCTAAGCCTTTATTGCCCATCATCGTCATTATTACTGTGCTATTTTTATTATGCTCAGGCACATGAGCATTTTCTCACTTTTATTATTTGTCGTATTTTATTTCTATTAAGGATGCTAAAACAGGACTATAAACCTCATCCATAGCCCAGAGAGCATCCTGAGTTGTATTTTGGGATGCAAATTACTTTTTCTCCTTTTTTCCCTTTTGCTTGATGAAAATTACCTCCAAATGGTATTTCCCCGTTTTATGAGACCAACATTTTATGCAGAGCTACTGCACTGAGCGGACTTTTTCAAGGGTTTTGAGAAAACTTTCTTCTTGAACTGTCAGCCCCCTGAGTCCCCACCGTCCTGAACTACACCGACGTCAGGGCACAGCCAGCGTCCCGTGGGGGTGAACTCCAAGCCCATGGACAGGGTTCCCCAGCTCTTCCCCTGTGAGGTGCGAGACGGTGGGAAGTGACTTAAGCTCTTTGGTAAAACAGCCGTAATCCTGCTTTACCAGGTGAGCTCACACCTGAGGGAAACAGCTTTTTATATGGCGTTAAACAAACAGCTTAAAAACTTGCTAGTCACTCTCTTTCCTAAGACAGACGAGGGTGCTTGCAGGGACCACAGCTAAGAGGATGCTTTTACATTGAGGATGCTGGACGCCCCCTCTGTAACGCCGCTCATCCGTGGTTTTCCTGGAAGTTGTGTAATTTTGCCAAGCGATGCTTATCAGAAGCTCTTCCGCACACCCTGGGCCCTGCTTCCCCAGCTTTAGCCGCCTCTCAGCACCGCCCAGCCCCGCCAACACCGCGCCCCTCTCCTCCTGCGGGAGCAGCCTGGGGACCTCCAGGCTCCTACCCACCTTTTGATCGTCGCTTGTCCACAGGGTCCTGCCCTGTGCAGAGCTGAGGGTTGGCTTGTGCTCCCAGATACTCACGGCTTACGCCCATGATGACTTAGTTCTTCGTATTTTACAGATGGGGAGACTTCGGTCTAACAACTTGGGGTGACTTACTCAAGTTAATCTAGTAGGACACGGAACCAACATTCAATCAAACCCAGCTTGACTCTAAACTCAAAGCACAAACCACGCGCCTCAACTGCCCCCTTCAAAAAGGAAACCAGCTCGCGCTGTTGCTAGTTCAAGAAAGGACGATGGCTGTCGTGACTAGTCTCTGTGTCATTCAGTGACTGTGTCCCAGCCAGACCGGCCGTGCTGTCCTGTTGGCTCCTATGCCGTTTACGCTTCTCAGTGTTTAACTAAACAGAGCACTTTTTTGACATAAAACCCTATCAGACCCAAATGGTGCCAGATTTATAACCTGTAGTAAATTTGCAGAGTTGTAAAACGGAATGAGTTTTCCCTTCTCTGTTTTGAACACCTTAATTACTGGGGAAGGAGTACATTAAAACTGAGATCATGGGTTAATTAGTTTGTCCTGGACTGTAGAGTTTTATGGAGAACCAGAGCTAAAGTAATGGTTGTGTAGGTGCGATTGATTAAACGTGGCTTATAAATGTTACAGAAATCCCCATAATTAGTCCCACTGCAGCTATTTAGCCTGGGAATTTTATAGCAGACATAAATTATGAAGGTGAAAAGAAAAATTTTGAGTTGACATAGTGGCATTTGCAGAAGCTATAATTTGAGGAAACCTGTTTCACATGATTATTAATGTTTTTCTCAGTTTTCACGATTCCCCTTTTTAAAATTTGCTTTTCAGTGGTTTTTGTCGCAATGCGATGACTATCAAGGGTCAGGTGCATTAGACACAAGTAACACCTTATTAACACAGACCACCGGCATCATTTCTAAAAGTACTTAAAAGTAACCAAAGAGTGAAGAGACCTGTTTGATTCTTCAAAGTCATTTTTGCATATTTTAATAGATTGAAAAGTTGCAGGTTATATTTAAATAGTGTTCCCTGTCATTGGATCTTGACACGTCTTAACCCACCTGTTAAAATGCGAGTTATAAATAGCTCCTCTTTCAGAGGTGTTCATTATACCTCATTGGCTCTCGTTACAGAAAATGCAAATGTAATTTGAAAAGTGTGAGCAGTTACTTGTGCTCTTCAGAACCTGGTTCGTTGTCAGCATAGCCACTCGGCTAAAAGGCATGCCTGCCTTTGAAATGGAGATCGCTTCGGCTGCTAACCGCCGGCTCAGCAGCTAATGAGAAAATGTTTTGCTTTCCAGGGAAGCAAGCAGCTGCTGAACAACTATCCCGTCTACATAACGAGCAAACAGTGGGACGAGGCCGTAAATTCTTCCAAGAAGGACGGAAGACGGCTCCTGCGATACCTCATCAGATTTGTTTTCACGACCGATGAGCTTAAGTACTCATGCGGCCTTGGGAAAAGGAAAAGGTCAGTGCAGTCAGGAGAGACAGGTCCCGAAAGACGCCCTCTGGATCCAGTTAAAGTAACATGCCTCCGAGGTACTGCATCCTTCCGCTCAGTGTCCGCCATCTGTGATCTCATTTCACCGCATTGGCTGTGGCCCCCGTACCAGTGTTCAGCCTTACCGCATTGTGGTTTCTTTCCGCTGAGAACTTTCAGGCTTCATGCGGCCCATCCACTCGGTATCGAGAAGCTCTTTCAGAAACCTTCGTTTGCTTTAGCCTCCTTGCTCTCACGTGACGGCACATAAGCATCGCGTAGCACCTCGTGTTTCATGCTTTGAATTCAGCTTTCCTTTGCTGCCAGAGAAGCCCACCTCCAGCAAGACTGGAGCACGGGGGCGGGTGCACAGAGGAAGGGAGGATGTGGAATTTCTTTTTTAATTAGTAAAATGGTGTCTCATTTCCACTTCCCATCTGGGTACCAACTTAATAATACTTGGCCCAACTCCTTAAATTTGTTTAGGATTAATTTTCCTTAGTGCCTAAGATACATTTTTTTTCTTTTGGTTAAAAAAAAAGTCTTTGCATGAAAAATACTGTTTAGATGATACCGTTGCATCGGCGTTAACCGCGGATGACTGTGTGGCCGGTGAGGCAGCAGAGGGCGGGAGGGAGCATGGGGAGGGACAGGGCTGACTCAGAAGGCGCAAATACCCACAGCCTTAGACGAGCAGAAACGTCATAGTGCCAACAAAAACATGGCTCACCCCTGAAAAATCCATAGCGAGAAGCTCCGATATGCATCTATATAGTTCAACAGCAGTTTTATTGGTTGGAAAGACTTAATATTGATTTGCTCTGGGTAGGGATCAAAACTTTTCCTGGTGAGGAAATCACAGTTAGAAAAAAATAATCACGGAAAAGACCTTGGTTACTGGGAAGGACGCTGTAATTCTGTGCTCCCTCCTGGGCGCCCACGTGCATTCTGCACTGGCACATGCCTGAGGTCACGCGTGGGATTCGTCCACAGCCAAGACCCCTGGTGCACCCCAGAGCCTGACCCAGCAGGGCTGGGGGAGCTGCGCACTGCTCCTCCCCCGACCGCCCCGGGTGATTCTGATGCAGGTGGCCCACACGTGAGGAAACCACCGGAAACAAAAATGCTGGTTATTAACTAGGCACGAGTGCCCCAGAGCACCTCCTACTGGCCAGCCTGAGAATCTCGTGTACTCAGAGTGGTGGTGGAAATTTCCGGGGTCTGTCCCAGCCGTTGTCTTCTTTATTCCCCAGCATCGTCAGAGATGACGGAGTCACTCACCAAGCGGCAGTGTTGAGCCGGGGCTGTGTACTCGGGGAAGTTGCCCTTAGGTTTACAAAGGAGCCAAGATAAGGGGTCTCACAACTATTATTTTCTAGAAATTTTTACTCAACACTTCACATTTTAATAGCAAGTCAGTGAAACTGAGGGATTAAAATACATCCCAAAGAACCGGGGTCGCTGCTCTGGGAACACTGCTGGCCTCAGCGGCCACTGTCACGCTGACGCCCAACACAGCCCAGGCTGCCCACCCAGAGGCCGCGGTCCCCGCTTGGTTCTCCCCAGGGCCACAGCCCTCCGGCCCTCGGGTGCAGAACACACAGGCAAGAAACGGCGACTGGCTATGCTGGAGGCTGCCGGAACTTTCCCTCTTCCAGGCGCACTCATTGCTTTTTGGTAAAATTAAATATTTAGAGATCACATTTAAAAAATACATGTATAGAAATGACAGAAGAAGTAAGTGTAGCACATGACGCCACATTTTGTTAAGAATGTGGATAGCTTTTCTGAAGTACACTCAGACACCTTCCCACTCACTGAGACTCTGTTATTTTATTGTGCCCAATCTTTGGATCAGCAGCTGGTTGAAGAGTACCATGCTAACGGTACCTGCCATGCTTCCGGAGATAGGTAACACTCTCCAACAATGTGAGCAGTAACAACGTGGGTTTGCAAATCTACTCTTAACCTCTGCCAGTCATGGAGCATTCCACGTCTTACAAATCAAATGCACCTTTCGTTTCAACAAGTGTCCCTTAGGGGGATTCTCTCTCACTTACGCCATTTTCACTTTGGCCCACGAGAAGAAAATTTGTATGGAGTAAGTTGGGTTGAACGGTGACGTCATCGTGGCATTGCACTGGAGTTCCCATAAAGCGTTTCTGATAGAGCTTCTGTTAAAAGGTTTAAGCAGCCTGTCCTGTCGTCTTCTGCAAAAACCAGCTGTTGTTCTCTCTCTCTCTTCCCTGTTGTGTGTGTTCCTGCAGAATTCATTAGGATGCACTGCACCTCCAACCCCGACTGGTGGATGCCCTCGGAGGAGCAGATAAACAAAGTGTTCAGCGACGCGGTGGGTCATGCCCGGCAGGGGCGGGCGGTGGGGACCTTCCTTCACAACGGAGGCTCGTTTTACGACGGGATCGATCACCAGGCTGCGCAGGATGAAGTCTTCAGTAAGGGTTCCCAGGATGGATCCGGGGATTAGTGGACAAGATCTTTTCACTGTAGCAGCTGGTCTTCTCGAGAATTCCAGTTGTGAATGTCGGGTTGCTGTCACCAGAGTCCAAAGCGTGTCATTCTGTCATACTGTATGCATTCTTGGCTGCCACACTTCCCAAATAGAAATCCATTGTAGGGTTGTTTGGGAAGTTTATGGCGCCTGTAACGGACTTTTGGAGGATTATATTATGAAAAGAAAAAAACTACATTTGATTTTAAATGGTTGCTAGCTGGATGGTGAGGGTGAAAAAACAGGTGAGCTCCTAATCTGTCCAGAATCTTCAAGCTCTGCTTCCTGGGCAGAGGTGATCCCCAAGGAATGCTGGGTTAACATTCCTGCCCATGAGAGAAGGTAGAGACATGGAGTTATTTTAAGGGACAAGGGACAAGCTTTCTCTTATTTTAATTCAAATACGTTGTCGTTACGTTTTCCAAAGACTTGAATTCATAGTTCTCAGCAGAGACACAGATGGTAGGTGACATCGTGTGTGTGCTGTCTCTACATTACCAGTCTCTTAAGAAAAAGAAACCAGAGAACAGAGGCCACCTCCAGAGGCAGTGATTAACTGGAATGGTTATTTTTATGGCAAAAAAAAAAAAACAAAAAACAATTCTACTGTGTTGATCACTGTTTGATCTCTGGAGTTTACACACAGTAGTAGTTTTTCACTATGTCAGACAAGAAACATCCAAAGATCCAACACCATTTTCAAATGCACGATCTTGTAGGTTCATAGATCCAGTTTCCATCGCCTTAATTAGGCTTTGTGGACGCAATGCCGGAGTGATGGGTTGAACAGTGAGAGTTTCAGTCAGTCGGGTGTTTGGAGCACTGAAGACCAAACAAGCCGTGACTGACGGCGTCCGCCGCACTGACCGCATGTCCTGGCATTGTGTACACACGGCTTCAAGGCCACTCTGACAACTATGCAACGGGCTTGTCAGTAATTTCTCTGAAATCTGAGGGTCTTTCTGTGCTGAGTTGATTTGTAGAATTTGTATGGAGCTTATTTTCCTTTGTCATTGATGGAAATATCTTGTCCTCACTGTGTGTGCCTCCTTCCCCTCGAGTCCCCTGAACTGCAAGCTCTAACACTGTGCCACGCCCACCCGTGTTCCCTCGTTTAATGCGCTGAGCTCCATACGGGAAATCAGCGGTATCTTCGGAACTTTTCTTGTCAGCAAATGCTACGGAGGTGCTAGAATCACCATACCTGAGGGTGCTGGGTTTGGATGTCAGGAGAAGCTTTCTTTACCAGACTAGTCGGGGTGACTACGTTCTTTGTAGAGCAAAGGGCTAAATGGACAGCGTTTACTGAACGCTCCTGATGTCATCTACAGACACGACCGAAGGGTTTTGAGGACTGGACGGAGATTCAAGTTTATGAGCATCCATTTGTAGTGGGTTTTTTTGCCATGTTTTGTCAACATAAAATCATCAATTATCCTTTACTGTAAGCAGTTAGCTGTACGCAAAGTCCTAGAAATGGGTCCTTCTGTAGCTTTTGTTACGATCATTAGCTTTCATCCATTGAGAAGTTTAGCGTTTATGGAGACGGTCATTCGTCAGATCTGTTCAGTGATATAGGAGGAACTGGTATTTCAATCCCATCTTGGGCAAATTAATTAAAATTTAGAAGTAAAAACTGATAAGGGCACATGTGATGTTGCTTATGGCAACTATGAGCTGGATATCTTTGACTATTCAGGGAAGAAAAATACTTCTTGAAGCGTTTTTAAAGGTCTGGGAAATCAATGTCTTGTAAGATTCTTTGGTGACACGAAATCGTTGCCAGAAGAAGAACACCACCGTAGCCTCATCTGTCTTTCCATTTTACCTTTTTTAAATTTCGCATTGGCCATTAGTTATCCTTACTTAAAAAGCGTACATTGTCCTTTTTTTCTATAGCAGCAATAATTGGCCACTGCTTGCAGGAAAAACAAACTCGCAGCCCTTGTCGTTTTCCTGCCCGTGTCGGGGTCCCGCCTGTCTTCACACCTCGGTGTCATCTCGGAGCCTGTGTCCTGCTGGCGTTCGCCGAGGGCTGTGCTCATTCTCCGCAGCCTTGCCCTGCCCCGCTGCGGGAGGGAGGGGGCAGGCACCTGTGGCTTAGATGTCACTTTGTCCACTCGAGACGCTGCTGTGTGAGCCTCGCACGCCACCTTTGTTCCGGAGGCACACTTGCTCTTTTCCTCCCAGTCTGGCGAATTATTTCCCCATCAGCTGTTTCCTGGTAAGGCACAAATTCAGAGTATCGGGTCTAACTGTTGACCATCTCTTTTGCACGTGGGGAAACCAAGGCACACAGAGATGATGTACCCAGCATCACGCCGCCGGTTCTAATGCCTCTCCTGGGTGCGGACAGGGCCTCAGATGCCCGCCCTCCGGGCAGACGTTCTGTTCTAGGTTTCACTGTTAGTGTGACTGCTGGTTCCCCCTAGCTGGGCCTGCCGCCCGACCCAGGCCCTGACAGCCGCGTGGGCTCTGACCCGGCGTCAGCCGAGTCGCTGTGCCGACTCCTCTCCTTAGCACACGTCCGTGCTGCCGCTCGGGCTGCACGCTGGAGGCTGGTGTGTGCCCGGGTTCACAGTGGTTGCCTGGATGGTCACCTGACTTGCATCTATTTTTTGGTAAGGCCCGAGCAGCCTCTATGTAGCAAGGTTAAAAGCTTGGATTCTGTTGTTGTTCTGTGAGCCTCTTCCGGGTGATCTCTTTGGAAACTTGAGACGTTGCTTATCTTCTTGATTTGATTTTCTGTCTTTATCTGGCAAATGGACGAATTGCTTTCACGATGGAAAACTCAGTCTCCTGTCAGCTTTTAGGCTCCGCCTTGAGCGGTGCTGGCGTCCGTGTGAAGTAGATAGAATTGAACAGCTCAGGATGCAGCCGTGCTGCTGCACTTCAGGGCGAGAGGAGGAGGGCACAGGGCCGGCCTGACAACAGAGACTAAACGTGGCATTGTCGTCGGTGACCAGGTGTGGTCCACGATCCCAGCTGTCAGGAGAGGCTACACCTACCAAAAGCGACAGTGTCTTGGTGTGTCCCGTGTCTTCCAAATTAAAATCGTGTCACAGAGGTCACGCCTGCTTTTCAGTGAACTGAAGCCCCAGCCCCAGTTCCAGCCGGGCTGCAGATAACCCTAGAATGATGTTTTGGAGGACTCGGGCCAGGACGGGAACCTGCGAGGGGGAGCAGTAACTGGAAGCAGTTCCTAAAGTCTCACTTCTCACTGTTTTGAACGGTACATTGTTCAAAATCTCATCGTGTCGCCTTAGCGTTAAATGCTTTCAAGAAAAACTGTAAACATTTCAATTTTCTTTCTCCTTGAAAATATTTCCTCATGCCCGTGAACCCAGGCATCACTTTCCTGGTGTTCCCTGTTCCAGCACGGCATTTGGGTTACTGTCACCGTTCGTGCTGTGTGACGCTTCACTAGGAATGCAGAGGATAATATTGGAAAATATTAAAATAGTGGAAAATTGCTGTCGTCTCCTTTGGTAGAGGAGTTGAAACGTGCACGTAGCTACTTCACAGCTGTAATTAGTGGGTGACTTTATATTCTGAGCCGTTCCTTATCCTTCCTGAGTGATAAGCTCACTGACATAAGAGATTCCTTCATCGGGATTATAAGGAGGTATAAATTATAACCTATTATTTGATCCAATTTCTCCACGTGGCATCAGCTGATACCGGTAATGCTAACTGATGTAGACAGAACGGTTTTTTAAATCCAGCAACTATTCTTGTAATATCAGATGTTTACCCAAAACCTGACAATAAGCCAAACTTGGGAATCTACAAGGTCACGATTTCCACATTTCCCTGCCACTTTTAATGGCTTGCGCCTCCCTTCTGTGGCTCTCAGCAGATGGACAGAGCTTCACGTAAAGACGAGATGTGCACTATGTTCAGAAAAGCAAACATACGTCACCCTCATCTGGATTCCATCATTCAATATACGCCCCAGAATTCGAACCTAATACCCACTGACTACCTCCTGAGTTTCTTCCTAGATTTCAGTAATTTTTCAAAAATCCCATTCTTGAATAACTTCACTTTTAGAAGAGATTTAAATGTGTGACTTTCTCATTCAGTGCTATGCCATTTCGCAGTACAGATCTGTGTTAATTTTTGACAGCTCTTACACACAAGTTTTCAGGAACGGAATAGAAAATGATTTTGCGCATATGGTGCAAATCTTGCTGGTGTGTGTTTAATGTAGTGACACTTGCCAAGGCTGTTTGGCAAAACATGCCAGATAGAATACTTGAGTCAGATCCCTAATGGAAATGTGTCTAAACAGCAGTATGTATCATTATGATGTATTTTTGTAAACACAGTGATGGCTTCTTTCAGTCATGTAAGTACTGGATAAAAATAACCGCTTCACTTGGAATAACACAGGAAAATGTCACCCAGCTGATGGCCGTCTGCAGAGTTACTTGCATTGTCGGTCGCCGGCACTGGTCCTTTTATTTATGTTGGTTTTTTTTTTAGAGAGTGAAGCACTGACATCAGACCACATGGAATGCAAAAATAATAACCCGTTGATGCCTGCCTTCTAAATGTGAAACCTTAACTGAGCTATTCACATATTAGAGACCGCTTTGACCCCCCTCCCACACAATATATTCAATTGCAGGTAACACCGAGAGGACTGGACTTCTCTCGCCTAATGCCCAGGTTGGTCAGTTTGACTTTTGAAGGCACCGGATTCCCAACTATTTGCAGTAACAGTGACTTAGATTAATTTTCCTCATAACCATCCATAGCTGGCTGATATAAGGGCTATGTAATTTTTTAAATCACAATCCCCCAAATTATAATGAAAATGCATCTGCTAGTAACTCACTGAGAACCTTTTCATTCTCAGAATAATTGCACCAGTACACGTGCACACTGGAAAATTACTCGGGCCCGTTCAGAACCACTCACTGCAACAGGAGTATCTGTAGCCGATACGTTTATTGAGTTCTTGTGTGCCA